TTGAGATTTCAATAATGTGCTCACTATTTTTATTAGCAGTTGTCTACGTTGTGATGCATTCGTAAGAAGTTGGAAGCAAAAAAAAAAAATCAAATAGCATTACCAATTTGTTTTGAACACTGTTTTTCAGTATCAGGTTTCAATGCAGTGAACGATGCAAAAATTTTTTAAGGAAGTTTCCCAAGCACTTCCTTGTGTTATAGCTTGGTTGTTGATAGTCGTCAGTACAGCATGTTTCTTTTATCTTTTGGTACCTGAGTTAATAACTCAGTTCCCACGTTGGGGGCTGGTTCTGTGTGTTGTTGACGCTCTGTTATTTTTAATTGTGCTGTCAAACCTATTTATGGCGACGACTATGGATCCTGGCTTTCATCCATTTGGTTAGTTACAGCGGTTTCTGGCGGTTTTCTTTTCAGCATAGTATACGAATTATCTGTTTGATTGACATCCGCCTAAATTACCATTATGACATGTTAGAATATTCACTCAGTTTATCTGATTAGAATTTAATTTGTTCCTGGGCAGTCTACTACTGCATTTAAAGTTTTTTTTAAATTTTAATCGTATATTAAAGTTTTTTGTTCACATTCAAATGAATGAAAGCTGAGAATAAGCCTGTGAGTAGGTGTTTTTGGAAGTTTTTGTGAAGCTTCTCAAATATTGTCACTAAAGTAACTGATTGTTACTTATGTTAACAAACCTTTGGTGTATAGCTTTCCTGATAACGCTATTCATCATCTTTTTGTCTAATAAATCAAAATTGTTATGGCTTTTTAAATTTACTTGATATTCCCCTTGAAAATTCCTAAAATTTTCAAGTTTTTTTAGCTAGTGTGTCTGAGGAACAGCAGTACGATGACTATCGTTCTCCATTGTATAAAAATGTGGAGATAAACGGGATTACAGTACGGATGAAGTGGTGCGTTACTTGTAAATTCTACAGACCTCCTCGCGCATCTCACTGCTCTGTTTGCAATCGGTAAGATTTTTCTTCTGGCAACTGAGGGATAGTTATGTAGTTTTTGAGCTTTGCGTATTATGAGAGTTAAAATTCATTTGCAAAGTCAATTTTCTTTGAGACTTTGTTATTTTATGAATTCGAACATTAATAATTTATTATTCCTAAATGTCCAGAGGTTTTCTGATCTTTTTCAGCTGCATTGATGTGTTTGATCATCACTGTCCGTGGGTGCATAATTGCATCGGTCGACGTAATTATCGATACTTTTTTCTTTTCTTGTTTTTTCTGAGCATTCATATGATCTTCGTATTTGTTATGTCGCTATCATTCACTATCACGAATTGGTTAGTTCAGTTGCTAATTGTTGTAACTTTTTGAAGGCAGTGTCATATTTGCCATTAGGAGCCCAATTCTTTTTTCATCGACGACATTTGGCGTTTTAATTTTTTGTCTTTAAGGGATATTTCCAGGAGCAACCTTCTTTCAAGAGCAAATATTTGTTCATTTTCATTGATGACTTTAATTGTCCTTGCATCTCTTCCTGTTATCGGATTAACAATCTTTCATATGGTACTTGTTACTCGAGGCCGTACGACAAATGAGCAAGTATAGTTACTTAATTTTTTTGATAATTTTGTCATCTAATGTAGGTCTAACACTTTTTAAACAACACTGGATTCGCTTATAAAAGATTAATTTATTTTTGCATTTTCTTCGAGTGGTTTCATTTTTCAATTTATTTTCAGTCTTCTCATTTTTTAACATTTTTTAATTTTTGCAAAGGCCAGGTAATTTTTTTTGCGGAGATCGATATTGAACTAAATTATTCTTGAGATTTTTTAGAACATTATTTTAAATTTTTTACGTTAATTTTTGTGGAAACTTATTTCATTTACAGGTTACTGGGAAGTTCCGTTCTGGATACAATCCATTTACCTTTGGATGTTCTCGTAACATCAGGCGTGCCCTTTGTTCCAGTCAATTTCCTTCGTAAGTTTTTCATTTCATTTCATGTTACTCTTTGATAAAGTCACCAATTTTTTCCTTCATAGTTGATAAGGAACGGAAAAAGTTCTCTCTGCATTTGCAGCAATAGGCTTGTATTAGTTATTTAAATTTGTAATTCTTTTGTCTGAGAGAATTTCGAATTGTTAATAGAAATTTTGGTGGTTTCAAGAAAATTTTTATAGTTTTGAAGCAGAAATTGCTAAACGAAAATATGAAGAGGAAAGGAAAAAGAAAAGTACATTAAAAACGCCCGGTGTACTTTATGTTCCGGACCCCACAGCATCGAAGACGGGGGGACTTATTAAGGTATTTCTGGTCAAGACTTCGTGAACTCTGAACATTGACATCTTTAATTTTGTGTTAAAGTGTTGTTCTGCTTTCTCTTATAGATTTCTTTTTTCAGATGAAACTGTTATCTGATGACGATCAGTCTGTTGGGACAGCATTATCTATAGGACAAAGTTTAGGTAAAGACGTTACAGACCAAGGGTCTCGATGCAATCTGTATATGACTCCCGAATCAAAAAGTGTCAGTAGACAAAGTGCTTTGTACCAGGTTTGTTCATGCTGTATTTTTTATAAAATGAGCATGTTCTTCTACAGCTTTGGAAATATTCTAAATTGTCTTTCGTGTTTTTTTTTTCGCTCCACTGGGTGTTGTTGATCTTTAGGCGGCCATTGAGGAATCGATGCGACCTCTGCGTAGTCAAAACAGCCAGGACAGCATGAACGGCAGTACAACTGTTGGCAGCAATATGGATAATTTATCGTTATCATCACCGTCAGAAAACGTTGAAGTTAATCAGGTAGAGCTGAACGCTAATGCTGTTAAAGCAACGCAGCCCACTTTTGAAGAGACTAAGAAACGAATTTTTGATACATCGAAACCATTGAAGTTTACAGATGCGGTAAGACTTCATGAAAGCTTAAGCGCTCACAACGTTACGTTATAGAAATCAAGGCTTTTATTTGTCTGAAATTGTCGGAAAATTGTCTTTGAAGTTTTGATCTCTGTGATTCGATGGATTCTGAAGCATAGATTTTTTAATTTGGATTATAGCGACATTAGCTTATATTCCCAGATAACTCTGGAATCAATTTTTTTGCTGCTTTTCTAATCTAGGGTAGAAAAAATTGTTTTTATTTTGCTGTTAATACGTCGTTAATATCGATACTCTTGAGGCCCCGACTGGTAAAAAAACCAGTCGTTATTTAGCTCACTATATTTTACTTGGAACCGCCGCGAATTTATTTTCCTGCTGAGCATTGTAGGTGTTAAACTTATGATTTGATATCAGATGAGGGATGAAGTGATCATAATGTGCTTTATTTAATTTTACGGGTGTATTTCTATCATATGTTTTTTTTTTTTTTTTTTTTTTTTTTTTTTTTTTT